GTGTAAGTATGTAAACCTCTTATAACTTTTGAACGGTTGAACCGATTTCATCGCGGTTGTTGCCATTCGAAAGAGCTTCACTAAACTTAAATTTCCTGAAAATTTGAACCGATTCGGACCAATAGATTTTGAGAAATTTAGAGAAATCTCCAAAAAAATAGGAAAAAAATTTTTTTTAGAAGTGGTTTTTTTGGAATAACTTTTAAACGGCTCTACCGATCGATTTCAAAAACTAATCAGGTCTCAACATTAAAAAACCACGTCGATTGCCGCCAATCCGGTCAAAATCGGTTGATTTTTTCAAGAGATATCGTGAACGAAAAAAAAACCGAAAAAAGTGTTTTTTCGGAATTACTCCGAAATTTCTAGTTTGACCAATTGAAACTTAGAAATTCTTTATGAGGCTTAAAAAACTGCGTAGAATGCCGCCAACCGCGCAAAAATCGGTTCATTCATTCAAAAGTTATCGCGGTTTAAAAATTCAAAAAATAGTGTTCTATGAAGCTTCTATCAGACTTTTTAGCTCAAAGAGCGCAAAAGTACAGAAAAGGCATCTTTTTGAGCTCGGAGAGCTCAAAATAACAGACAGATTGTATTTTTGAGCTCAAGAGCTCAAAAAAAAACGGCCATGTATTGACGGAATTAGCGGGAAGTTGCAGAGATGGTCTTTAGGGTCAACCGTTTTCCAGATTTTTTTTATCAGTGTAGCTAAATTATTTTGTTATTCTAATAAAATGATTGTTGCTATAGGACAACAAATTAATCTAGTAATATTTATTAAAGGAACTATTGCATTTGCTATAATAATATTTATTTGGTACCACAACATATTTTCTAGTTATTTTATTATTTTAATCCCTTATGGTTCACGTTATTGTATTCTACATTTTTAAAAACCACTTAAAAAAATTTATAATTATGATTAATATTTCCGCTGGCTTATGTTTTTCCAGGAACCTGTCGACTATACCAATATTCTGAGAGGTATATCTGAAGCGTGTGATGACTTAAACAATTCATCAAATGATCAACTGACAAACCAGTACTATGGTTCTCTATCCAACGAGGAAAAAGATATATTTGATCGTTTTTCTGATGTTAAATCTTTCGCATGTGCCATGAAAAATCAAAAACTGGTAAGTACTACATGGAAAAAAATTTCTGGGAAAATTTACGATACATCTATTGTAAAGCTGGACTATACTTTTATTACTATTAATTTTCAAATATTTTAGAAGAAAATTTACTATTTATTCATGAAATTTTACAATTTACGATTAGAAAAAATACGATATGACTATTGCAAAAAGTAAGAATTAAAATTTCCAGTGCTGCCTCTGTATCTTTCCAATAGAACTATAACAAATTTTACAATAGTTGAATTGGAATGTTTGTCAATTAGTGTGAGCGATGGCCGTGCACAGCGCTAGACACCGAGTTTATGTAAATGTTAAAGAACATGGGTACTAGTTTACCTCGGATAGCGTAGAGGGAGAGTCTCTGGCTGCCAACAAAGAGTTCTGGGTTCGATTCCCGGATAGGACGAAAATTCCGATTTCTTTTTTCGGTTACTGTATTGGTACCAATTAGTCCAACCTCCTATCTCTCTCCCTCCCTAAAATTTCTTTTTAAAAAACCAACTGTCAATTTTTACAATAGTTGAATTGTAAAGTTTACAAACACATATTGTATAATTTGCTGTATATTATTCGACTTTTTAAGTTTCTTGCTAGCCTTGCTTGTTGGATAAAATTTACAATAGTAGATCGTAAAAATTACTAAATGAGAAGTACAATCCACCGTTACTATTTAATTTAATAAAAATTACGATAGTGAAATAGTAAAAATTCCTTCAATTTTTTTTCCGTGTATACAATAATGATTCGTGAAAAATGAAATCTTAAGTACTAAATTTATAATACAATATTACCATTTCTACTTTCAGTTCACGCTTCAGGATTTAAAAGTAGTCGCGGATTCATTTATTGATTGTTCCAATTTGATCGCACTTAATTCAACGATAGTAAAGTTTTCATATGAATGGGTCTACAGTGAGAATGTTTGTGTTCTCGAACGTTTAAAATCTGTAAGAATCTCATACTTATATACAACCATCTGTCTTAATGCTTGCCAAAGTTAACAAACATTTTCTTACAGGTAAAATCAGACAACTCAATAGATGTGGAAGGTCTCAAAAAATACGTGACAGCTTACTTAGTATGGAGAAAAACTGTTACTGATGTTGAAAAAGTATACAAAGTGCTTGATATTTGCGGTAACAAAAGTAAGTTTTCTGTAGCACAGCAATACTTGTATAACCCTCAAACTTATACCAAGTTTTAGTCCCACCAAAATACGTATCAGCTTCATTTTTAAACGGATTTCTTTAAATTTAAAAGTAAAAGGTTATAATAGAAGACACTATAAACGTCTTTACAGAGAAAATAATAATATAACCTCTTTCAATTTATTACTATTTGCTACTAAAAATATTCCAATTAACTTTTTAATAATCAGTTAATAAAATTAATTTATAATATATTAAAATTAAAAAAAAAACTATATTAATCTAGATTGTCAAGAAAAATATTACAATATTTTTATTTATATTAATAATATAATTTTTTATAACTATTGAATTTATTTTTGGATTAAAAATTAGAATGGAAGTAACAAAGTATCTAGATTAGGGTGGCGCAAAAAAACCGACTATTTTTTTTTTTTTTAGTCTCGAGTGAAAAAATGTTAGTTTTTGATGTTTTAAGAGCCCTCACCAAAGGACAGCTCAAAAAAAAATTTTTAAGAGGTC